ATGTTTATAGTTTTCAAATTTACAGATTTTTCTGTACTTTATAGAGCTTTCTGTCAACTACTAATATTATTACGATATAAAAACTGTATTTCTAGATTTTTCTACAGTGTGCAGAGCTAGAAATCTGTAAAGGTAACATTTTGTAACAAAAATAAATCTACCCGAGGATTTTTTTAAAATTACTAAATTGAAAACGGTAACTCCCGAATAAAATCTTAGTCTCGAGGTTGTAAAAGGCGTGCAGAAATTCTGACATCAATTTTTGCTTTATAGTGGTACGTATATATGGTGTATACCTGAACGGCGGATTAATCGGTAAGCGAACTATGCTGGCGCTTAGGGCCCGAAGGAACTCCCGTAGTCTTTAAAATGCTACTGAAAAAAGGGATTGCGAAAACGCAGAAGATAGAAGTAGTCCAAAAAAAACGCTTCGATATATATAGATACATGGAATTAATAAATGATATAGCTTTATGGCCAAGAATATTAACAGATGCTATTATTGATCATATTCTTAAAACAAACCAAAATGTATAAAAAAGGGATTTCTTAATTAATAAACGAAAAAAAAAATTAAGATTATAGAAATAGATAAAACACCAGATGAAGAAAGTAACTTGACACCTGAAAAATTATTTAAAATACAAATCTACAGTATTCTTGACACTCTACTATGTCAAATAGATTGGCGTTATGAAAAAATGAAAACTATCAGTGACGATTTTTGCTTTCGCTGTGGCTGGTCTTTACAATGCATGAGTTTGTTCATTTAAAAAATTCGGCTGCAGATCTCGCTATTAAACATAGCAAAGATTTAAAAAAGTACGAATTCACAAGTGAAATTGAAAGTTTTAATTTTGAAGTAACAACTCTTATACAAAATATAGAAACTGCGTTTTCGCTTAATATTATACAGGCTCTTCATGAATTTGGTTTAATTGAGTCTTACCCTAATATCAATGTCGCTCTTCGAATATTTCTAACTCTTCCCGTTTCTATTGCTTCGTGCGAGAGAAGTTTTATCAAGTTAAACTTAATAAAAAATTATTTAAGATCAACTATCGGAAAAGAACGATTATCCAATATTTCTATTATTTCAATACAATACAATATCGTTAAAAATATTAATTATGATGTTGTCATTAATGAATTTGCTGAAATGAAAGCCAGAAAAATTCAATTAAAATAAATCTTAATAAAACCAATACATTACTATAGATTTTTAATATTTTCCCAAAACCAAATAAATTAAGGGGCCTAAATGCAAATTTTTGCACAGGGCACAGAAATGGCTAGTTACGGCTCTGCTTTAGAAGTTAATCAAGTATCAAAAACGTTCTATTCAGCATGACACACAGTCCTCGAAAAAACACCACACAAAAGTGCCAGTGCTACCAGCTAAAACACGCACATCAACAAAAAAAATATTGGAGTAGCCCAAGATATAGCCAAAGACTGCAGCGCCACAGCACTAGCGAAAATTTAAATTTGCCAACTGGAATTCTTTCGGATAAACGACGCTCTACTGTACTTTGTAAATTTATACGAAGATACTTTGCCATAACACTTTTCGTGTAGTAATGTTAATTAATACATACAGTACATTATTTGAGACGTTATTTTATTAGAGCAGTTTTCAAACTGAACGATGAATAAGATTTCTAATTCCTAAAAAAAAAATACCGATTACTTTCACTGATGAAAATCGATCATTCAGGGATGGAATGGAAATTCTTTTTTAAAAAATCCATTATTTTTTGCAGAAAATAATCAATTTTTTGTTTGTCAATTGCGTATTCTCGTCTTTAAAACAGTTTTTCTCTACGTTACTTCCATTATTTTTAAATTAAAATATCATTACAGTTGAACCTGTTACTCTTAATGGCAGCCATTTTTTCAGGAACAATAAACAAAGTACATACAAAATAACCTCCAACAATGGTCACTGATAACAATAGCTATACTTAATCCTTTCTGTCGGGGGCCTTTTACAGAATTTTCCTTGTATCTTCGTTATTCTGACATTTTATAAAATTCAGGTGTCTTACCGATTTCACTTAGGAAAAATAGCAAAATTTGATTTTTTCCTATTTAATTTTAATATTATTTTAGCTGTAATAATTTTATATTCTGAATGAATAATTTTATATAATCTTGTATGATTTATTATTGCATAAATGGGTTGCACGTATTATGTAATCCATGTCTGTCAATAATGTATAAGTGATTGTATAATAATAAATATTATAATAAATTAAAATAGATTATACAGTAACCTCATTAAAATATTAATATTGCTGTTCAAAAGTATTTAATTTTTATTTTGATGATTAGTTTTAATGTGCTGAAATTAATTTGTAATTCGTATTATCGATTCGATCGATCTGCTTCAGAATGATCACGTAACATTCAACATATACATTTGTTTCTCTATGGTGATACCTTCGTTGTTGTCTGTGTAAAATTTATTCTTGCTGATTGAATTTGATTTATTCTTGCTTCAGTATATTGCATATTATCCAATTTTAAGTTTCAAATATCAATGGCTGACTCATATATACCAATAAATTGCTTGAAATGCTTCTTGAAACCGTGGTTGGATTGTGCATTGACTTTTGGACTCGAATTATTTGCATGTTGCAAATGCCAAGAAAATACTGATGCAAACTTTATGTACAATTGGATGAAAACTACGTATATTCGTTTTATTGAACTTAATTTATGGAAACATTTCATATTGCAGATGATGAATTTGATTCCACATACAAGAGATGTTGCAATTTGCAAGAATTGGTATCAAGTTTTTAAAACTGGTAAAAATGTATTCAAACTCGCTGATTTCTCTCTTTCGTTTGTTCTTGCTTCTACTTTCACTTTCTTCAGACATAACAAGTTTGAACCGACAATAAACTTAAATGCGCTGTTATTTAAACAACGTAAAATTCAACAAATGCAAGCCTTTGCGAATTTCTTGTTCGTGAGACTTTTTGCCATATTTTCAATGATAAATGTGCTGTTTCAGTTAATAAATGTTTTGTATATCTTTCCGAATTTGGAAAAACAACAACAGTTCAATGGTGAAGCTCTATTTTGCAGTGTAGAAGCTGGATTTCAGGTGATTTTACTTTTTGGAATCAGTTTTAATGTTATTTTTATTGCAGAACTCTTCTTTGTGATGTTAAAGAAAGGATTTTTGAATTTATCGAAAGATTTATATTTAGTAAAATTGAATAATTGTAATCTAGAAGCTAAACTGTGGAGTATAATAAATCGGCATGCTGCATTATGGGAAGTCGTTGAACAAATAAACACTAAAATAAATTATTCATTTTTAATGTACTATGTTATTATTACATTTGGAACCAGTTTTTTCTACTATATGTATCTCTTCATAAGCATCAATGCTGTACTGAGACTTGTTGTAGCTATGGCTACTGTATTATGCACCATTTTATGTATTTTATATGGGCTTATATTGTGTTCGTTTACTTTTACGGTAGGTCTGATAAATTTAATATCTATAAATTTTAATTAACAGAACTTTAATAGTTTTTTCCTTTGACTAGATGCATAATTCATTCCAAGATATAAGAAGATTTGCAGCAGTAAGTTTGTCACTTGAACGGAAGTTATACGTAAGTAGCTTTCCATTTCTATTTCTTGTTTCATGTTGTAACTCAGTGCTTTTCAGCCAGGTTGCCACAGCAAACTATTGTACCCCAATGGCACTTCAGGGTTGCAAAAAATAATGCTCAGTAGTGCCATAACATTCATACGTGTATTTCTAAAATAACAAAAAGCACAATAACTCTGCATTGATATAAAGTAGGGTGCCCTAAGAGAAAGTTACCAAGATGACACTATTAGAAAATGGTTGAAAAATACTCGTTATAACTAATTAATGAACACTTTTCAAGTTTCTAGATTTCATGAAAAGATTCGGTAAAATTTCGTTACGTCTTTCTATTGGAGGATTCTTCTATGTTACAAAAAGATTTCCTATAAGGGTAATCATTCATTCTAACTTACCTGAGATAATTTATTTTAAAATTTTTAAATATTTTCCTGTAATTTCAGATTGCAAACACGTTGTATACTGTATTTTCTGGCCTCTTGAAATCCAGAGAAGTTTCTTACAAACGAAAATATTGTAAAGAAATTTTAAGTATGAATATCACTAAATCGTATTGAATCCATTGAGGAATTGGAGAGTTTCATAATTTGTGACAGAGAATCACGCAAATTATGTTTGTTTTCAGAGAAGATGAAAGTTTTGTATTATAAGTCAAATAACTACATTTTTATCCTGCTGAATCAATTAAGAAACAATGTAAATACAAATATCCATGCAATTACGAGTATATCCATTTCTTCAATTACCACAAATTGTTTTCTTGAACAGTTTAATGAACATAAATTGCTACAGAATGTTGTAATTAGTGATAGTTGCATAGGCTAGTTCTCCATGATTTATAGAATAAAGAATTAAGTGAAACATGATGAAAATTATTGTCGTTTCACTTCTAATTTTATTAATCCTTTTGTAAGAAACATGAATGTTTAATGCTGATGTCTCTCTGTGTCATTTCATTATATTTATTATTCTTTAGTAATATTAGAAAAATTTTTTTATAGTAAAAATTCTTCAGGGTATTCAATTAGAAAAGAAGCACAAAGTTGCGAAAAATTTGTAATCACTGCTATGAGCAAACATGGTGCTTTAATGAGAATAAATATCATTCAATGGCAGTGATATACATTCTGTTAAATAAATAAGTTACTATATATGATGGATTGTTGCATTTCAATTGTATTTAACTCTTTGCATAATATACATTGATAGGGAAAGGATAATCATGGAGTAAAGATAACACCTAAACATAGTTGTTTTGAAACTCATTATTATTCTCTGACAGGATGTAAAGAGAGATAGATGCCTTACCTTTCATTCTGCCACACAGTTTCAATGTTTATGTGTTACCAACTTAGTCCATTAAAATTCATAAATACTCATAAGTAATCAAATAATTACATAAAACTACAAGCACAAGTCATGTTCTAATTCATATTCATTCAATTCTGTAAATTTCTGTAAATTTCTCAATTCTGTAAATTCAATTCATTCAATTCTGTAAAATTCATATTCATTCAATTCTGTAATTTGCATAACACTTGTATATACAAGTGTTATGCAAATTATAAGAATTAATAGAGAGGTTGTGGTCAAAGTTTTGATCTGTAAAACGTAAACATCGAACGTTGAGTGCCATCTTGTAACGTTCAATGTTCACGTTTTACAGATGAAAACTTCAGTCGCAACCTCACTAATATTTTAAGTATAATTATATGCAAATATGTTTGGTTATATAATATGATTTTCTCTATTGTAGTAACCAGACTTTTGAAATTTATTTGTGCACAATAATGATAAAATTTGTAAGCCTAAGCTATGATGACTACACAAGATTGGGCACTAGACTAGACTAGACTACAATGGGCAGCCAGTCTGGCTAACAATTGCAGGTTTGACTGAATTCACGATGGATTTAAAAAGTCCTCTAAAGCATTAGGTAGTTTAATTAGCCTCAGTTGAGCCTGCTAAAGGCAACTGATTATGGAAATGTGTATCAGGTTATCTTTACATGATTCTGGATCCACCATATGTTGATTGTGTATCAAAAAATTACCACAAATACATTAGCAATAAAAATTTGTTTATTTTTTTTAATTGTGTTAAATCATTGTATACAAATAATACCATAAAAAATTATCAATTAAAAATTAAGTGTTAATTTACATAAATTATAAAACATTCAAAGTCATTAGTAATAGAAACAAATTAATTATTTAAATTTTATACAAAATATACCTAATTATTATATATTAAAAAATATTTAAGTAGTAATTAAAATTTCTCTAAAGTTGAGTGATATCTCAATCAACAATAGACGATGTAGCCATTTTGTTTAATCCGCAAGTTCCGTCTCCTCGATATACTCGATAATATCCCTGAAATAGAAAAATAAATGAATTGGTATTGTTGATATATCACCCAGAGAATGTGCCTTGTTTCATCAATAGTGAGAGTGTACAGTGAGTGAGTGTGAGTGCATTGTAATCTGTAAGTGGGGAGAATCAATCCCAAGAGGGCTAAGACTAACACACTCACAGATTCCATTCTGTTCCCTTCCAGATGAACTCTGCTTAGTGCACATGTGTAGAATAGTTAAACTGAATTGGAAGAACAGAATAAAATTCTTTTGATATCTGATGAAGTAAATATAAAATTACTCACTTGTTCACCCCAATCTGCTCCCCAACTGTTCTTAATTATCCAAAATGGTAATGTAGTTTTAAACAATGGATAAGCTGCAAAAAATAATAATTTAAAATTATTGTCTAAGATAATGTAGTTAATGCTAGAAAATCATGAGGCAAAACAATTAATGTAACATCATACAATCAATATAAATTATAAAATTATATAAGGGCAATTTTAAAGTATTCATTGTTAACCATTGTTAGATGGCTGAGATAATTTAGGAAATAGCCTATCACTCTGGGAAACCCAAGATCAAATCCAAACAAGCAACTCTACAGGACCTTTTTATGGTAGTGTCCTGGATATGCTGGGTCACCATCTCTCACCACCTAAAAGCCTCATTGTGTACCTGACTGAACTTAAAAGTATGGTAAAAAAATTACTTTTTTAGAGCCAAAAGGGCATGAATATTTTAAAAAAGCCTTCAGGTTAAGTTTTAAACTACTGATGCAAATACTATAATATGACAATATGCATATCCTATATACATTAGCTGCAGCTTTTCTGTTTTATTCTGAGTCTTATTTCTAAAGTAATATAATTAAAATTTTCATCTAATTACTAAAGTAGTTATTGCATTGGAAGTCACGTAACTATTGCATTAAATTGCTTCAGTTTATTGCAGTTTTTATCCAAACTGTAATTATAGTGAATAGTCTATATTAAATGTTGTGCATTTCAACACATCATTACTGATCTCAACAGTTAAAATGTGCAGAAATTAAAGAAAAACAACAGATTTAATTATAAACTTCCATTTGTTTATATTTAATAAATTTTTTATTTGAAAATTTAAATATTCAAACTACTGTTTACTATCCACATCAAGAAATTTTACAAAATTTTTGCTTTCTTACCAGGGCTGTGGAGTCGGAGTTGTGGAGTTTTGTTGTTTTAGTCGGAGTCGTCAAAAAATCTGCCGACTCCAATTCCTTTTTACTTACCAACTTGTTATGTATATAAAATGGAAAAGTATTGGAATCGTGTGTAATTTGACCCTCCAAGTTTTCTTTTGAAATCTACATGTTTGAGACCTCCCGAAACCCTCAAAAAAGTCAATAAAGGGAAAAAATTCGCACGCACGTGTGTGTATTGGCGTCTAATTTGTTTAATTTCTTTATTTTCTGTTCTGAGATATTAAGCAATATCTCAGAACAGTTTCTACACTCTATCTTTATTAGAACTCTATTTATTGAATCTTTCATTCTGAGGTCACGTGATGACATCAGAATTTCCAGGTCTCTTTCAGTAACAATTCGCCCCTGGTCGGAGTCAGAATCGGAGTAGGATGGTAAGGAAAAGTCTGAGTTGGGTAGATTTTTATGCGACTCCACAGCCCTGTTTCTTACGTTATATCTAGAAAATTCATTTAGAATATTTTCTACTTACTATGAACACCATAACCTACGATCAAAACTCCATGATCTAAGTTATCTGGACTGCATAAAAACTTCCAAGGATGTGAAATTCCTCCGTAATAAAACTGAAAATTAAATTTGTTAAACTTTACTTTGTCAAATTAAAAAATAAATAACAGTTACAGTATAAAATTACCTGCATTGCATTTGCATTAATTCCAATTGATATTGGACCATGCTTTACTAACCAAATTGCCATTTCTGGAATTAAAATATTTTAAAATTATTTCATGAAAATAGGATAAAAAAACATGTTGATTTATGAGCTTATAAACAAATCAGCATTCGGTAACTATGCATTATTTAAAATTAGTCTTGGGTCTATTCTATTCATTAATTCTGAGAAAATTCTCGACAGGGCCAATATTGACTATTTTGAACCGTCAAAGATCAGTCTGGTCAAAATAGTAGTTTAGAAGCAATATTCTAAAATTATTAAATTAAAAATTCAATGGCTATTGGTAAGCTAGAAGCGAAATATGAATACAATATAATGTAGGAAAGGCATATAATAAGGCCAAACCAATTTCATTGAAACCCTAACCATATCTTTCAATATATTAAAAAATATTATATATCATATATGATAGGGAATACTTTTAATTACAATGACCTGTTGATCATATTTAAAAATATTCTCTATTCAACATTTACTAGAGGATTTTTGGCAGTCTGAGTACAATCAAATTTGGAATGGTGACATTTTGATGCTATAAAGAGATCTAAACAATGCATGTGGTCTCCATTCTTAAAGTGTAAAACCTGTATGCTACGAATAGTGTGTTCAACAGCCAATTGTAATTGATTCTATGTGATATTTCTTACATGCAGTGTGATACAGTCAAATTTGCAACATGTCTTCAATAAACTGCACATTTTAAGTACCCTCACATCCAAAAACCACATGAATTAAGATCTGGAGAACAAGATACACAACTAATCATTCTGTTATTGGTGAGATGTCACAAAAATTGCTGTATGCAGTATCCAATAAGTAGAGTGCTTCGTCTTGCACATAGGTGGTTGATTCAAGGCATTGTCACTGTTTCAGTTCGGATATAAGAAAACTATCGAACTTCTCTCTATCACTGGTTGTCACAGCCCAATTGGACTAGCTGATTCAAAGAAGAATACACCAGGAACAAATGTAGCTATGAATCCACACTAGAGTGCAGTGGAATCAATAAGAAAACATGAGAATTCTCCACCTCTGATCTTATATCGATAACAATGCACCAACTTTCTCATTACAAACACATTTTGCTGTAAGATACATCCAACTGCCATGATACTGCATAAACACTGTTTACATTAATATAGTTTAAGACTATAGAATAACGAATCTTTTGATGTCCTTTCTCACACCTCAGGAAAAGATGTCTTACAGTGGAGTCTGGCAATTTTATCAAATATTATTATTATTTTTTTTTTATGCCATCACCAGAAGAAAGTCCTTTAATGTTTTGGATAGTGAGGCAGATGAGCAGCCTCTAATAAAAGATTGACTCCACCATAAGACTGTTATTTTCTCAAGGTGTGAGAAAGGACATCGAAAGACTCATTATTCTATAGTCTTAAACTGTATTCATTTTACAATTATAGTCCTGGTAATTTTATCAAACTGTTTACATTATTTGACTGTACAGAAATAGCTGTGATGACATCTTCAACAACTTGTAAAAAAAAAGAGGTTTATGCTTTAGACGCACAGACATCCAGTTTCTTTAAATTGAGTGATTATTCTCCTGACAACTTGTAGAATCAATAGTTCTCAGCATAAATTCTTACAACAGCATAATTTTTGAATGCAACTACAATATTGCTGTTGTTTTCATAAAATGATTTACAAAAAATGCCTATTCTAGAAAAGTGATTATCATTATAGGTGATAGATGATTTTTAAACTCAGAAATTGACTGCAATATAAGTTGTTATGCTAAAGGAGACTGCCTTTTCATTGCTTGTAGTGCTAAAACTGCCACAGTGGTAAATTCAGTACTAAATTTGTTTTTATGAATGTCTTCCACACTATATATTTATATGCCATCACACAGTAAGTAAAATTACTATTAATGCAAACCAATAAAAGTATTGTTTTCAGTGTGTCAGTAGGTAGGTTTAAACCTTATGAACGGCATTATCGGCATCCTTAATCTGGTGTGGATGTTTGTTATTTTCAAATTTTAATAGCAATTTGTTTGCAAATGTTCTAAAACTACCAGTGTAACATAAATAAGACACAGCGACTGGATTAGCTTATTAAAAAAAGCTATTCCAGGAACAAATGTAGCTATGAATCAACACCAGACTAATTTTAGATGAGTGCAGTGGAATCAAATCACTTCCAAGTTTCACTGCTAGTAAGCAATCTTGTCCTGTAGCACAAACATTTACTGCTTGAACTACAGCCATACTGGAAGAAAACACAGTGAGAAACATGAATACAATCTGTTGTGTAACAAAGTTGTCTCTTGCTGTTTTTCTTTCATTATGTGAGAATCTGGACTTCAACATAAACAATTTAATGTCATAACATCAACTTTGTCAACTATCTATCAACTTTTACACCTGGGAGTATATCTTCTTTTAAGTTCTCAGCATTGCTAAAGATGCTTTCATGCGACCTTGACCTGCTGTCCCAACTTCACCATTTTAATAATATAATACCAAACGGGCAGTCAGGGCATCGCCACATAATTCTGCCCAAGACAAGAAGTTATCACCAGTCCCTCTAGGATTAAAGTCATCAAAATTTTCCTGCGTCAGTGCCAATCGTACTCTATCAGATTTTCACATTATCCTCAACTGTGCCTAGAACAACAATTTTCCCGGATCGATCCAGAACTTTCTTGATCCAGACCTGTCCCGAATGATCAAATCCGGACAACCTCAAGATCCTAGACCTCCGAGTCATCACGGAATCCAAATCAAGAAGCATCGTTATCAACGCAGGTATTTCCCAAATCATGAACAATTGTAAATTCTCTCTCTCACAACCACTAGATAGATAGATTAAGTCGATGGAACCCGATATATATTGTATATTGTATCATGTACTCCTTTTTGTTGAAATTAAACAGTTATTTAGTTGTTAACTTTAGTGTCTGAGTGCTTTACTTCCATCAGGCTGTCTCTCAGTCTCCATCTGGAACCCGTTCATTTACTCACATGGCCGCTCACATGACCTACTTTTTAACCCAAACTAAACTCACTGCCGTGGCTCCGGTATCAACAAAGACACAGTGGTGTCAGTCCTGACAACGCATCAAAGAGGAGCCGACCCTCCAGTCACAATTATGTTCATATGTTTTCAGTGCTTTCTTCACTTTATTTTTAAAGTTTGGCTGTGTTATTTGTTCATTAAGAAGTTTTACTGCTAATCCAAGATAAATAAAGTTATCAGACATTAGTCCAGAGTGCTTAGATCTGCCATGTATCAATTATAATATTGTAAATGAATTAAATTAAGTAAATCATAGAAATTTTTGTTTTATTACTTAAACTTTCTAACCTTTCATTTACAGAATGCCCAGAATTTGCATATGTTCACCTAGATTTGCCTAATTTCTAAAAACACATTGAATATTTTGATTGGATATATACTTTCAAATATTTTAACAGTACTCCCATTCCAATATATTTATTTACCTTTGCATTCCCTCTGTCAATAAAAGAAATACTACATGTTTATACTCTACATGCTATTTATACAAATAGCTGCATTGTTTATGTTTATACTCTCCATATTGTAGTTTTGACATTACTATTAAATCTTTTTTTACTGCTACCAGAAAGCCACCAGCAAAATCAAAGATAAATTTAGTTAATTAAATGTAAAGTTTAAGGCTGTTTGTAAAAGAAGTGCTTAATTGTTTTATTATTTTATTTTTGTTTAATTGCATTTTTTTATTCATTTTACTGGGTCTTTTGCTTCATTGCTGTATAGGGAGTAGCAACCACTGTCTATTCGACATCACCAGTAAAAAAAAACTAATTATATATCAGGTAGATTGAAGCAACAATGTAACTGAAAATTCTCATTAAATTCAATTGTACTCTAAAATTACCAGAATTTCAGTGTAATCATTATGTTTATATTAGAGTTTCTCAAACTGAATCCTGGTTGTTTTTTTAACCCAAGAAATTCTTCTCATCCCAGAAAATCCTGCAAGATACAAACTGTAAGGAACCAAGTCTGAGCATTATTTTTAGTTACTTTTTATTTTGCTTTTTATTCTATTTTTGTTTGGGGCTTTTGTTTTGTTAGGATGAAGGTTTCTTCACCACTCACCTTAAAAACTTAAAACAGAAGAAAGAAAAACCAACTCACCAAGGAGAAAAAGCGCCGTAGAAAAAAAACTCGTGCACACTTGCACTCCTGAGCGGAAAAAAGTAAATCCGCACCGAGAAGAGGGGGGAGATCCCACCAGCACAAATTAGGAACTTGCTAAACCTTAACAAAAAAACAAAAATCCCAAAAATTGTCAAAAAGAATAATGTAAAAGGTTAGCGAGTATTGTCGGGAAATAGGCTGCCAGGCAAAAAGGAAAAGTTTACTGTTAACAATAAGTATGTAAATGAGGGGAGAGGACTCAGTCAGAATTGTGACATAACCTCATAGTATAAATCCCATACCTCAAGTGAAGATGACTGAGGTGAGCTTTTGTTAGCAACGAGCATGGTGAGCTTCATAGCAGTGAATGACAAGAGGTGTCCAATTGGATAAAGGTGTTCCAAGGCAATTAGAAGTTATTGAATTTGTGGATCAAAGATTAGAAAGTCTTGAGCGTTGAGGAAAAAGCTTCCTAGTATATTGAGGTGACGGTTAGGACCTTAGTTCATAAAAATTGTTGTACATAAGTTGAGTCTTTGAATTTTTTGTTGAATTTCAAAGGGGAATAGATTTAAGCTACCGAATAGATTTTGAGTTTTGTCGGGTTGATTCTTATTGTTGATTTTCTTTGAATAAATTGTTGTTACTAAATTGTTACTAAATTTTGTACATAGTCATTATTAGAATTATTAAATATTGGATAATTTTTTACTAACTTTGCAATTATTTAATTCGGTGCATGCTTAAAGTCCAGGCCTGGCACATTAACGTGAATCCGCATAAAGTACCCGTTAGGTAACGGCTAATTCTGGCACACAGTTCGTGTTGGTAATCGTCGTAAAAGGCACAAAAATAAATATAGTACTTTACAAAATGAGTACAAAGTATGCAAGTATGAAGTTTTTCTTCATAAACCTGATTATTAAAGACAAACAAACTGCCAAATTATTGTGCTATAAGCTGTTTCTATTAAAGCAGCCGAGATAGACAAATCAAGAATACTAGAGAGCAAAAGAAGTACTTCAATCTCGAAAACAAACTAGAAATCTTCCAGGCTACAGGTGAAAAAACACATAACATCTGTCTTCTCTTAAATGCATTAAACACAATTCCACTCACATCAACTAAATCGGAAAGGGCATTCTCGGTAGCGGGCGTTTTCATTACTAAGATAAGAATCAGACTGACTGATGTGAGTATTGACCATCTTTGCTTTTTAAAATCTTAATACAAAATATTATTTTAAATTTTTATATGTTTTATTTAAAAAATGAAAATTACCTATTAAGTTAGAAGTTTGATCTAAGCTTATTTTTTTTAAATTTTCAACTCAAGTCAAAGCATTTTTTTTTTGTTATTGTTGTTGTTGTTGTATGCAGTTTCCAGAAAATTTTAATAATCTTTTTCTATTTGTGAAAATTTCTATGTAATTCAAAGGTAATTTTTAACATATATCTTATACAGCATTATTAATATGATTTTGGAAAGTGCAGAATGTACTAAATTACTTTAAAAAATGAAAAATAATTATATCATTTGATTTCAAGATATCTTAAAAATTATTAATTCTATCCTGATTTCCCAGAATCAAAGGAAACAGTTTACTTTTTTCCCAAAATCCTGGGACAAGCAAAAGATCAGGAAATGAGAAATCCAAGTTTATATATATATTATGGATAGGGATCAACTTTAAATATAGGAGACTGATATGAGAGCCACAATGAGAGTCTAGAAGAACTATGGTTTGGCTTTAATGATGTAAATGTATAATGTATAATTTAAAATATTGCCACTTCAAATTTTATGTTTGATCTTTATGTGAAATATAATCTGAAGAAACTCTGAATAAAAACATAAAGTACTTATCAAGTTTTGAATAATTTATAAGGGTGTACAGTAAAGTCCTAATATACTGACGTGTGAGTAACACACAATGTATGATAGATACTAAGAAATGCAACATAAAGAATAGGAAAATAAAAGTGCACATATTATAAATAAATATATAAAATGAATGACAACATATGAACAAACATGTAAAAAATACACATTTGTGCTCGACAGGCACATTGGCATGAACAGAAAGCAAGAAATTCTATTCATATATGCAGGGTGTCCTTCCGTACTAAATCGGTCATGCTCCACAACTTTTCAATTGACATTTTTCCAACTTTCACTGCTAGTAAGCAGTCCTGTAGCACAGTCATTTACTATAACTATCCACAAGTTTCCAGAGAAGATTCATGTATTTTCCTGTGCTGTAGCACCACTGTTGAACTGCCATTAAGGTGTTAGAAGAACTAGGGAACTGAGGAACTAGAAAATATAAGTGATTTTGAAATGACTAATAAAAATTCATTTAAATGCCCACTTTGTTAGTAATAGATAAAAAGTTTTATATTTTAAATCATAAGGAAAGTATTTTCAATCATTTTTATGCAAGTTTAAATTTTCTCTAATGTAAATATTAAAAAAATGTGCCATATGCATGGATGGAAAATATCTTTTCAAACCGATAAAAATTTTAAGTAAAATAAGAAAACTTAAATCCTTTTTTTTTATTTTAGATGATGATTGGCTTTTATAATCTATTGTTTATCAGAAAATATTTATAAATTGCCATTTAATTCATAAATTAGTCCAAAATATTCACAGCCTATCATGGAATCAAATCTAATGCAAAATTTTCAGAATTTTCTTCTACAAGCTTGTATTTTCTAATTTATTTTCAGATGGACATTCATTTTCACTAATTAGTATTATAAAATCATGGAATAATGGCATAACAGAATGGTCACTTTTGGAATACCCAGCTACACTTGAATACTTAATTAAAAACAAAACCTATGACTACCAGAAGTGCTTAATTATAGGAATCTTGACACTTACAATTATTTGTGTCTTCTTAAATTTTCATCATTTGGAAACGGTTAACTAGATATGATTGAATACAAGAACAATCTCGATACATTGTGTTTCTGAGTACATCGTGTACAGCTTCAAGCCATTTATAAAGAACTATCTGGCTATTATTATGCAGTGGTTGACTGACATATTTACTTGAACTGTTTACGGCATGTTACCAATGGAAAACTAAAAATTACTGGACTATGCTAACAACTAGCAGTAACATAATGGCCTTTAGTGGCATAAGTCAAAAACACATTCTGGAAACCTGTGGATACAACACATTCACAACTGTAGCTATCTACATTCATCAGTAATGTGAATGTATAAGGACATTACTATGCACCCTGTATAATTTTAGTGATACAGTTGATAAAACTAATAAATATATATTTTGTATAATGTTCACACATGATAATTTAGAAGTAAAACGTATTCTAAACTTCTGTAAAGCAGTTGATACACAAGGTTTGCTTATATGAGCACTAACAACTAACTGTAGCATTACAGCAAAAGATGGAAGAGAAGACTTTACATATGAAAAAGAATTTATCTAGATTATATAGAAAAATTTCAACTCAAATAAAAGATATTATTGGTACAACTCAGTCTCAGTTTTATACTTGAAACATGTTGTATAAAATCATGTCTACAAATATTTCAAATTCATCATTTATAAAAATTTTACTTACTTGTTTCATTCTGAGAAATGGAAACAGAACCATTAATGTATACTCGAGCTTCAGACTTCTTAAAATGGCACTTTTCATCATCTGCTTCATAAGGATATTCCTTCTCAGTCTCCAGTCCTCCTAATATAAATAAATTGTAACATGAAACAATTACTTCAACTATGAATCACAACAGCTTCATTCAGCAGACTCAACAGTTGAGTACTTTCTGCCAAATGTCCTCTACTGATTAATGACTTAACCATGTATTTTCTAATATACTGAATAATACAAAATGTCATTAAAGTAAGTTTGATTATGAAAATAAAAAATTAATTATAATTGTATATTATGAAAGTGAATTCGTAGCATTTAATTATGATTTAAATATATAAAATATCAACAAGAAACTTAAAAAAAACATTCTGACTTCACTAAAATCAATAATAATTGATATTTTTAGTCATATAAATTCAAAATTTATAAAATATGTCTCAATTGGTTGCATGTTTTTAGGATCATTCATCCAAGAATAAATTATATTAAAATGAATCTTTCAGATTCTTGCAAGCTTGTTATATAAATCTTCAAGAGTAAATGACATTGAATTCTAAGTTCTGTTACATTCATTCTAAAAAATAAAAGTACAGTCAAATCCCATTCATATCTTTTTCATAAAAATTCCAAATTATCATAAATGAGAAAATGTACAAAAGAAACTATTTTTCAATTGATTCTAGTGTGAATATAATCCTCACAAAAATACAACACAACACAAATTAACACTAAAACAAATTTGTATGTGTAATTCTTAGCAGAAAAGTTTCAATTTACTACACAGTTGTACCTCATACTTCAAACAATTCTAACTTTGAATGTTTCAAAGTTGTAACACTAAATTCTACAAGAATTTGCTTTGGAGTTCAAACAATACTTGAAAATTCGAAACAAAAGCAATAGTAGAAGAAAACACCATGAAAAACATGAATACAATCTGACATGCATCTAAATTGTCTTTCTCTCTCTCTTTCTTGCATTATGCTCATATGTTTTTAGTGCTTTTTTCACTTTATTTTTGAAGTTTGGCTATATACATTGTGTGTTATTTGTTGATTTTTAACAATTTCTTCTTACAGTTTTTCTTCATCATCTTTTGGAACCCCATGTTTTGTATCCTTTAATTCAAAATTTTCCAATTGGAATTTCTTAAACTGAATTTGAAAGTTCAGAAACATCTTTCTATACCCATTACAAATTGTTTTATTGTTTATATGGCATTGTATCCTTTCAAAAACTCAAAGCATAATATTCCTAATATGTTTTTTAAATGAAGACATTTCAACTTGATTTTATTCAAACAAAATGTGAAGTATAAACTTTAAAATAAGCTTCTAAACCAGTGGTTCCCAATTAGTTTTTCCTGCGTACCACTTCAAGAAAGAGCTCAAACTCGCATACCTCTTATAGCAGAAATTCATATTAATCCATACTATTATTATAAATTCGAAGGTAATTCTGTCTGTCTGTCTATTACCTTTTCACGTCTAAACCGCCGAACAGGTTTTAATAAAATTTGGCACAGAGATAGCTTATATGTTGGAGATGGACATAGGCTACATTTTACTGTGAGAAAATATCTTACTCCCACGAGAAAATTCGATATAATGCGGGTGAAGCTGGGGGTAGTCGGCTAGTGATAAATAAAATAAATATTTTCTTACATTTATCACCTTTAAAATACAATTCTAATAATAATGAAAATAACATAAGGTTATTTAATTTTTATGTGACAAATGTGCACGATTTCCTTTGTACAACTTTGTAAAATCTGGTTGCTTTTTGGTCAGCTTCAGTCTCGAGTCATCTTCGAGTTGAAGTTGGTGACGATGTTTAGTTTTCATGTTTGTCATGGCCGAAAATCCGCTCTTGCAGAGGTATGTTGTGCAAAATGATAGCAAATATTTTATTGCCGCTTCGCTGACATGATAATAATGGTAACTGTACAATTTTTGTTTCTTGCGCAAGAATTTTATTTAGGTATTGTCACAAATGCATTTTTTTGATAAAATTTCAAGAATATTTTTAGTTAGAAATAAACGAATTTGTGCATTCCACATCATGTTGTAAATTGCCGAATTTTTGATGGTCCACTCATTATTTTTTTTTTTGATTGCTTCATCTCGTGCATTTAAATTTTAAATTGACCGATTTTAGATTGCCACGCGTACCCCTTCAGGCAATTTCACATACCCCCAGGGGTACGCCTACCACTAATTGGGAACCATTGTTCTAAACAAAGAACACAATCTCACATTAGCAATAAAATTTGACAATTGTTATAATTAAATCACACATGTTTGTTAAGTAATGACAGTTGTTAAAAACAGGAAAAATTTTATATTCAACCAAATATAACCTTTATTTATTAACAATGGCATCCAAGGAGCATATTTAAAAGCAACCAAGTTTAAAGTGAAAGTTCTGATAAGGACAATTGAGATGAGAAAGGAATTTATGAAACATAAAAGTGGTACACATATGGTGGATCAACGTAAGATGTCAACATCAACTGTGTGTGACCAATTTTTACTTCATTATACAGTATTCATATATTTTTTGTTTTCATGTTTTAATTTATTATTTAGGGCATTTAATTCTATTATTTTTACCTTAAAAATTGTGCATATTTGCTGTTTTATGTTTATTAAAATCGGTATTATTTAGAGTCTGGAAACACATTAATTCACTTTCCATTATTTCTAATTGAAAAAAGTGGTTCAGACTTCAAGCAATTCAGAGTTTCGACTTCAAATTTAATTTGTTCCAAGAACTTGAAGTTAAGTACAGTAGAGCGTCGTTTATCCGAATCAATTGGGGACTGGGGTTGTTCGGATAACTTGTTTTTCGGATAACCGATTATGAGAAAACATATTAACCTATCCCATGTTGAAATTTTTCTCCGTTGCGTGTCACTTCATGTTGAATTTTCGTCAATGTTAAGCGTAACATAAACTTTTTAAAATAATAATTGTGGCTATTGTATCGTTAAAAACGATTTCTTTATTTTTTACAAACAAAATAAATATATTGAAAAATATAAAAACAAAAAAAATTATACTTTAGAAGTTAATCTAGTATCAAAAATGTTCGATTCAGCATGACACACAGTCCTCAGAAAAACACCAGACAAAAGTGCCAGTGCTGCCAGCTAAAACACACACACCAACCAAAAAAATATTGGAGTAGCCCAAGATATAGCCAAAGATTGTAGCGCCACAGCACTAGCGAAAATTTAAATTTGCCAACTGGAATTCTTTCGGATAACCAACTTTTGGATAAACGACACTCTACTGTATTAAGTAATCAATTATTATAGTAGTAATATAAGATTTGATATAATTTAGTATATAGTATAGTAATAAATATAATTTAATACGGTCATAAAAATGTAGTAAGAATAAGTAAAATTTACCTAGACGAATTATTTCTTTATAGGCATTGCTTGGAAGACCACCTTCACAGCCTTGATCTACTTTATCACAGTCCACTAACTCTGAAATATTAATATTAATAAAATTGTCACAATTTTTTAGAGTTTCTTAACAGAGCAATATCTATTACAATGTAGATATGAATTTGTATTCTGTTCTTTAATTCCTATTTTTGTTTAAAATAATAAAAATAGATAATTGGAATTTAGTTTGAAATGTTAAAAAAGTATTCCTTATTTTAATCCATTACTTCTTCCTACCTCCCTGAGGGCACTAACAATAAGGGTTATCATACAGTTATTGCAGATTTCAATAACACCACTTATGTGGATACGCCTTGGTATGAACCTTTATTATTTAAAGCATACTTCTCAAATGTTCTCAAGAAAATCAAATTTAAAGAAATTCCAAGTATGTTATGAGTAAATTTTGCAAGACTTTTCATCAAAAATCATGAGGTTTGGTGGAAGTGTGACTTATTTGTATTTGCGGAATTGCCAAATCGAGTCTCAATGAGTTTGAATCAATGCAATTTTTACATAAAATGATTGTGAATTACATAGCTTTATACATTTTTCTACTAGTTTTTTATTAAAAATGTGTATTAACTTCAAAACAGATAAGTTCACTCATTGAGACATGAACTAGTGATCTCACAAACACGAGTAACGCACATCAACACCAAATGATGTGGTCTTTGATGAAAGTTCTGGAAAACTTACTCTTAAGTGGCTAGGGATATTTTAACTTCAATTTCCTTAAAAACATTTGAAAACCACACTTTCTTCCTTTGCTCAATGAAGTTCATATCAAAGCTCAACACAAACAGTACTATTGAAATCCCTGAGGAAAACCTCAAACTCTCCTTGTAAAAATGCCCTTTTAATCATATTATTTGACAGTTCGGCCAGGCCCACAATGGGGATGACCAGATGGTTTCACTTCCCAGAACTGATCCTGGGTCCGTCAAATATAGGCCAATGACTCTGCCATCCGCCCATCCTTTAAAACCAAATTTACATTCATTACTTTTAAAATGGATGTTCAATCCAACAATGAGACATATGAATCTGAAAACAGATCTAATTCTTGCTAATCAATGATTTCTATGACTTACTTTATTGTTAATTATTCATATTTTGAAATAATTCCATTCTTAATTCTTGTTATAGTTGTCCATTTATGGGAAAATAAAACATATTAACAATTACCTTGTTCTGAAAGAGAGAGCAACTTCTTCTTCTTAAGAGCCCACTGACCTTCTATGTTTCCAGTAGTGGAAAAGGCCCAACACGAACCACATTGTTGCTACAATTTTTTTTTTGTAATCAAAAACTTCTATAAATATTTAAATTATTTATAATTAAAGAACATTAACCTGATTTTTCACTTCAGTAACGACATTGTAATGTCTCCAGTCGAAAGATTTCGGGATGTCAAAAGAGGGGATCTCGGCAGAAGGAGGAACGGAATCGGCACGGGCTAAATCTGGACGAAATCCTAAGTACTTACGAAATTCATTCTCTGAAATGACAGAAATTCATTATTTTAATGTTAAAATATAATAAAATTTTGTATTTACTTACTCAAAATTTAAACTACATAAATAATAAATAATGCACCAGACAGTCATATTTACAACTCCATAACTTTTAAAGCATCTTTCACGTGTTTGCTATGTTATTTTATTAATTGGTTTTACGTAGTATGTAGTAATTTCAGTAAGCTTTTTAACATTTAATGCAACTAAACTCTTCAGAGATATGTATAGAAATTCTAGTATTTCTTAAGACATTCAGGTCTTTAGGTCATGTGTCTGCTGTGTCTTTTACTGTATGTTTACATCTGTATATGCATAATATGGAATGCATTTATGTGCATGTGTGTACAGTAGTCATGTTGTATGTAGTATCAGTTACAGACTGTTTTGCTTGTGTGTGTATATATAGGCTTTTATCTTCAAGTGTAAATGTGTATATTTAATGGCATATACATACCTCAACTACCTGTTTATGTCCATGCTTATTAATTAATATATAAATGCATCTTATGTTGTAAATTACATAATGCAGATATGGGTGGATAGGTGTGCAGGTAAGTCACAGAATGTTCTTTAATTGATAATGGGAATGGAGTACAGTAATACCCCGACTTACGCGATTCCGGAGTTATGCGATTTTCAAATCTCGTCGATTCGTCTTTTGTTTGAGCGCCACGCAACTCTTAATTACTCATTTCTCCCCACACTATTGTTCGGCTTACATGTTCGGACGTGTTCGACATATAGCTACAATTTATTTTGTGTTATTTGTATGTATTTATATGCAAAATTATACCCCGACTTACACGAATTCGACTTACGCGGTTATCGCTTGGTCCCACCTATCGCGTAAGTTCAGGGTATTACTATATATACTTATAGTATATAATGGAGTATATACTTCAGGGGCAATCAAGAGATCCAGATTTTTATCATTACATAGTATTTTGTAAAAGGTGGGAGATCTTTTGTACTCAGTCCCTCAGTCCCTCATTGATGACTTTCATTCTTCTAAACAGCAGGATATGAGAGATCCCTCTAAGAACCTTTACACCATAACTGAATACTTCCAACCACTGCATAACATATTTAGAGATAGTAAAAGCCACTGATAAGAGAACTGTTTACCAAAGATCTCCCACCATTTACAAAATACTCTGTAATGAAAAAGACCATCCCAACCCCTTGAGTGTCCCCATAGTACAGTGTTCCGCAACCAGTGTGCCGTCACAAGATGAAAGGTGTAACGTAAACTTTTACATATTCTATTAATTTCAAGTTTTATTTATATATTTTTATCACAGTTGCTGTGTTCTTATACTTGTATTTCATTCTCTGCCGCAGCACTGATGAAATAAGATGATGCTTGTTTATTCTTTATCATAAGCCATGCATTCTTATGTATTCTAAGAAATTAAATGTAAAATTAATTTGTTCACAGGTGTTGATGTCTGTTTAATAATAATAATAATAATAATAATAATGATAATAGGTTAGTAGCATTATGTAATTCTATTAATAGTATCATTTCATATGTATTTTAGGATAATAACATTTTGATTTTGGTGTGCCGTGTTGAGTCATGGGTGTGCCGCAAGTAGAAAAATGTTGCAGACCACTGTCACAGTATATTCTATTATTCCCATTAGTAACCAAAGAACATCTCATAACTAAATATATATTGGTGCTACTTCAAGATCTTTCAGAATACACTTGAAGGAACATAAATATAATATTGTGAGATCTGAAGGTTCTGGGAAGGATCATATTAATTAAAATAATAATTTGGAGGAAAGAATTAAAATAACAGAAAATAATATTTTCAACTTCAACAAGATTTTATCTAAAACTGGAGGAAACATCAGAATTTTTGAAAGGAAGTTGATTTCCTTTCCCAGGCTAACTCAGGATGAGTCAAGTTTTTTTGCACAAGTTACGGAAGACCAAATAAAAGGGCCATTTACCCGCCTTTCAAGGCAGTCCATTGAAACGAGGTATTGCCACACGAAGTCCCCGACATATGATAAAGGCAGTCCGTCAAAGGAAGGTTTGCCATACTGAAGAAGAGAACTAGCCATACAACAGAAGCAGTCCGTCAAACAAAGTTTGCCATACGAAGATCCTGAAATACGTTAAGAGGCAGTCCAATAGGAAGAGGTATTGCCATACAAAGAGAATATGATACAAGTGATCGTCATACAAGACCGACAAGGCCATGCCAGATCGATTAATTGAAGTATAAATATACGACAAGATTGTCAAAGGAGAAAGACCAAAGACCCTCCCATGGAGAGGAGAAGAATATAAATAAAGAAAGAAGATCCTCGTACAGAAACAGATACGAAAAATACAGTGAAGGTAATATAGTCTCTGATAGATCGATGTAAACTCTCTGCGTTAGGTTAGAAATAAGATAGATTAAGTTAGATTTAGATTTAGATTAGATTCATTCCTTGTATATTTTATTATTTGATTTATTAAATACTTTGAGTCATTTTATAAAATGGTTTGGTTCTTATTAGATATTTATTTTCATTCAAGTTTCCTTAGTTCCTCCGAATCCTGAGTTTAAGGATAACACGTGTTAATCCATGTGTAAAATAACTGATTAACTGGTGTCAAGGGATCCTGACGTATATCTAGACTTCACAGTCCAGATTTTTCCAACTTCATTTACAGCCCTCCTAGAAAAAGATTAGAGATAGAATCTCGCGATTCTGAGTCATGTAAGTCGTACTCTTGGTTAGTATCCTCGGCTAATCTCACAATATTTTAGTATATAATAACTCTACCTAACATGGTGCTGTCAGCTTAAGCACTGGATGATTTAGTTAATATTCAACGTAAACAGGTCAAGATCATAAAGACAGTCAGGAACAAGCATCTCACTTGGCATACAAAAAGTCTTGGAAATATATAAATAAGCATTTCAAGGTGAATCCATTAGCTGTAAAGACAACTCACTATTGACTGTTTGGAGGGCTTGGCTTGAGACAGACATCCTGTAACTTACTTTTCTCTTTGCCCTTGTAGGTGACATATATTTTGTAACTTATTATGTTTATTATTTATTTATTTTCTTTCATTGTATTTCATTTTTGTATCAATTTGAAATGTTCAGCATTCCCAAAACTCATTCTACTTTCTTAGGTTCTTAACCATTAAATTTACAACATTGGATAGAATTTTTGTAAATCAGAAGATGGTCTTTTACATGTCAATTATAAAATAGTTTTTTGCTGGTTAATAAGGTTGAGTTTCTTAGTTGCTTTCTAAGCAGTTATCTTTCCATTGCACAATTAAGGGGATTGATTGAGATATACATAACATAAATATTAGGATAGATATGTGCAACAGTATTATGAAGCATTATAGGAGTGAATGGCAGTTGTTGGGAATATATAACCTATCAATTGCCCAAAATCAATGCTTACAAACTATCCTGCAATCCAGCCAAATGGTCAAAACAGTAAAAAGTATCATACTGCTGCTCAAATTAAATCCAGACAGGTGAACAATGATAAATTTTTGTGAGCAGTCTGTTCGGGATATGTTGGACCACATTCCTCTGCCCAACTGTGAGCCTGGCCAAATTCATAATGAGTCTTATCATATAAGTGTACATGGGACAAAAACAGTCAAAAATGAAGAACTAGTAGTGTTATAAGTCATGAGCATCTGTATACAGGAATTAATTACAAGTAATTCTTACCATTCAAATCAGCAAACTTTGTAACTCCATAAATGGCAGTTCCTCGTTCGTTTGAATTGAGTTCTTTAATCTTTTTTAAATTTGCTTTGAAGATTCTAAAACGTTTTTCTTTCTCTGTAAAAATCCATTAAATATAAATATACTTTTTACAAATATTGAAATAACTTAAAAACATTTATATAAAAGTAACACAAATTCAAATTTGCAGCTTCCACAAACCTAGAAAGGTATGTTACTATTTGTCATATGAACATTTCTAAACAAAGTTATTTTCTAACTATATAACTGATTTTACAATTACTTGCAGGATGTGTGAAAAGTTATTGTACAGTGAGAAATTTATAAAGACATTAAAATTATACATACAGCATTGCATACAAGACATAAGTGGTAGTCCCATATTTCCATTTTGTAGTAGATGACATTTCCATAATATGCCAAACTAAACACCTTTCTCTATTCCAGCACACTTTTAATGCATTGAAAAACGTTTTCGATCGTTTTAATCGATCATCATCAGTTCAAAATTCGAACTTGAAAAACGTTTTTGATCGTTTTAATCGATCATCATCAGTTCAAAATTCGAACTTGAAAAACGTTTTTGATCGTTTTAATCGATTTTAATCGAAGTTCGAATTTTGAACTGATGATGATCGATTAAAACGATCAAAAACGTTTTTCAAGTTCGAATTTTGAACTGATGATGATCGATTAAAACGATCGAAAACGTTTTTCAATGCATTAAAAGTGTGCTGGAATAGAGAAAGGTGTTTAGTTTATTTTTATATAATATTTCCAGTAAGCATTTAGTTATTTATTTAAATATGCCAAACAATTGCCAGATTAAATCGGGCTACTTTACCACTATTATTTTTAATTAAATCATTTGGCATATTACTAAAAATATCAGGCTTCAGGATATATATAGATAAAATTCTCAGACATTCTGGTTTTTGGAAGATTTCTTTGCAGATTGCATAATCTCCCATAAAATCTGTCCTAAATACCCCTTGAATTTTGGGCCACTGGAGAGACATTTCTGGCATTTGCTATAAGAGAAACTGCAGTATTGTACATAACACTTCATTTCTATTAAAACTTTACTTTTAAACATTTAATTAAAACCTTTTCCACTGCATAGTAACTTTTCAGACACACTGTATAAGTATACAATGTTATTCAATCTTGTCAGTTATGTCAGCATTAATGTTATGACTCATTTAGATGACATGATAAGTAGTATATCTTCTTAGGTGCCTAATCCACAATTATTCCCACATATGATGTAATGCAGTGTAAAGTCACTAATGGAATGGTCTTACCATATGAGTTTGCATAATCTGTTCTCAATAAGTTTGTTTTGTTACAAATACTTCAAAAATAAACACACCTAGTGAATTTAGGAGTCAGTTCCACAATCTACCTCTCCTTCAAATCAGAGATTTGTATCTGTATATCACCATCCATTTGGAAAAAAGTTTATGACTCCATGTTTTGTTAAGTTCAGTCCTTTATTTACACAGAGAGAACATAAAATTAAGTGATTAAAAGTTGGTAGGTAGGTAGTATATCTTGTCAATTCATAGGGAGGGAGAGATTGCCTTCTTCCTCTCTTAAGGATTCAGTGGTCCTGGAGTCAGCTAATCTGTTATTGAGTCAGTAGTGCTACTTCACATCCATCTTTGTCAGGACACCCAACTAATTACATTATTTATATATAGCAGACACTAACTCTTCCAGTAAAACTAATCTGGCTAAGTGGAACACCAAATCCCTTTAAAATCCTTGAGTCTGAAAAAATCCTTCTTAGTGCCCACACAGAGGAAAGACCAAAAGCAAAACTATATAACATTTACCCTTCTTTGTAAAATGAAGAATTAATATTTTCGATTATTATTATTATTATTATTCTTAAAAGCTAAGAATACAGTCATTAAAATACACAGTGACCCATAATCATTTAACTTTCAGAATACAAAATCATAAAGTAAATTTGTTAATGCACTATAATTTATATCTTGAATTATGAACAATCTCATTTTCAGCAATTTCTAGAAAGTTTCATGAGTAATAAAGTTATTAAATGAAACAGACAGTTAACCATTGTATAACCTAACTTTCAATTACTTAAACCACTTATTTCATATTGTGTTGTTTACAATTCTCCTCTCTCTACTTTTGTGTAAATATAGGGTGGTCAAATCTTGTTGTAGTAGGAACCATATACTATGTACCAGAAATACTTTAGGAGCTGCATCCTATATTAGAATAGTATTTTATATATATATATATATATAGTATAAAGAGAACAATCAACCTGGCATAGTAAACATTAGTATTGTTTTATTTCAAAGAGACGTGGCAAGTTTTCCATCAAATTCTTTTATTAGTTAAGTCAACTCAACTAATAAAAGAATTTACTATGCCAGAATTATAAAACAGGACATGGTTTCAAAAACCAAAAAAAGAACAATAAACAATAATAATAGATATTACATCTGTAAACAAACTGCAATAATTTCAAAGTGTTATTAAACTAAATTTTTAATAATAAAACTAGTTTTGTACTTTGTTTCTTACAAAATTCTATTCTGCAAGAAACAATTCTTGCTACATACAACAACAATATAACATAGTTGCATACTCAACTGATAATAGCAGGTTGCGGGGTATATTTTTACAAGGACTAATTAAGCAATAAATGTCATATACAAGTTTAATCTATGTATAATAAAATTCTTTTAGGCTTTTCAAAATTTATTTCTTATTTAACTGTATATTACTAATCTTTTATCTCATCAACAAGCTGGACACAGTTGAAACGTTGCACATTTTTAAGACTTCCAGTCAAATGCTGTTTGTGACCACTTTGTCATCTTATTACTTTTCTCCAATTATAAATCTTGGCTAAAACTGACAGCAAGTCTTACTGCTTGATTTAATCAAAACAGTATTTCTTAATGATTATAATATTTTGGACATTATTTTAGTTCTTTTCACTGGAAGGCGCCAGGTGCCAAATTATTATTTGCACCTGAAAGTTTAGCTAGTCAACTTTCAGTCAGTACTCAATATCTTGAGCAATAATAAGCATGTTATGTTTACTGCAGAATATCAAAGGATATTAGGATAAGCAGTCATTGTCTTTAATCAGGTATATCAAACTAAAGGCAATGGGTCACTTTGGTTACATTTGTCTCCTTAAGGTCACAAATAATAATAAACCGATCATCTGGCAACATGATGGATAGAAACTCATTGTTGGCAGAAACAGTTGTCTTTCCTATCAGTTAAATCAAAATATTCCACTACAATAGTCAACAAACCGGAAAAAGTAATCATCAACAAGCAAGTGTGAGTTAGCAGGGGGCCACTGGGATGATCCCTAATGACCGCTTAATCTGCATGGGTTGGTAAAACCCGCTCTCGGTTTATCAGATGGCTTAGGAGGGCAAAAATGAGTAGGGAGGGTCGTGAGGTCAAGACGAGGTGTCCAAATAACTACACAGGTTGAACCATAACAACACATTTAATAAACAACTAAGAGATTACACATATCAAAGGAAAAAGCATAAATAACACACGCATAAATAATAAAAGGAATCTATTCTATATCTACGTACTATCCTAAACTAAAGATCAAGAGAGACCTCTCTAAGAGGGATGCGAGGGAGAGAGAGACAAAATTCGGGCAAGGGTATACCTCATAGGATTCGATCTCTTCGTATAAGGCATTGGTAGGACGCACTGGGATCGGCAGTTTCTAATCGAAGTTCCCTTGGATGGCAATATGGAGCGATGGACAGTATGGCAATATGGAACTGATGTCCCTGGATGTCTGCTTGGCTATGTCTGAACAGGGTGTACCTCCATTGCTCTCCGACTGTAGAAAATCTCGTCGGCTGTCAGCTGATGGTGTTGCTTTGGCAGTGTCCTCTTCGGCTGTCTGCCTGGAGGTGCAAATTCAACCCCTTTTCATATTTATTTCGGAGGGGGAATCATGGGAAAGAAAATCTGATGCAATCGCCAGCTCAACTTGCGTATAGCTGTGTTTATATTATCGTCATTCTTTCTTTCGAATAATTGACATCTTCCCATCATAAATTTGCCAAACTCCCTGATTTATTGACGTGAGGTGACTCATGTCAGACTACATCTCACCCCCTTAGAAAAATCATTGCCTTATTTGGTCATTTAGATCGACTTCCTCATCGGTTCGCTCGGACTTAGAGGGGAGTATGGGATTTTGTTTTAGCCTTGTCAGTGACCTTTTGGTTACTCCCTATACCTTATATCTACATGAGACTGGAACGATCCCCTGGTGTGAGGGTAGTCCTTCTTCAGACGACTAAAGTCATCTTCCACGTGATGCAGTACACAAAGTGTGAAAATTCACACTTGCGCTCAAATTCTCACACAGTCAGTAGGTTTATGTACTTGAAGACCAATTCACTTACCAACAATGCCTGCATTGTTGGTAAGTGAAGCTCCACTTTAGTGAAAAATTCATGATATTATAAAATTTTTATCAAAATAAATTTATTAAAAACACTATAAGAGTGGACAATTATTTAAATATTGAAGTAGATACCATATTTTCATATGTATAAAAACATGTTCTTAAATGCAAGCATGTTCTTATATCCAAGTATATGAACATGCTTTTATAGATTGTGGAATATAGTGCCAATTTTTCCCCAACTACCTAAAAATCTCATTATTTTTTAAAACCTTTTTAGTATTGGAAGTATTTTTTTTATTTGTGTCAATGAATAGTTATTATATCAATACATGTAAATTTAATTTACATAAGTTTCGCAAAACCTTTCACTATTTTTCTAGCAGTCTATCTCTTAATCCATAAGAGAACAAATGTTTTTGGCCATTTTAATGGCCTTCTTCAAATTCTATAACATTGGAACGTCAGTAAACAATATTCAAATGACATCATTGTTTACAAAAGTTTCTTATGACGTCATTGTTTTTAACAAAAGACAAACATGGTTAAAATTGAAATAAAATAAATAGACGTGTAAATGGATGACAAAATAAATGACTGTTGCCACTAAGATTAAATTATCTAGTTATTTAATCTACTTATTTAATCTTAGTGGCAATAGTCATTTATTTTGTTATACATTTACACATCTATTTATTTATTATCTTTTGTTAAAAACAATGATGTCATAAGAAGGAAGAAACTTTTGTAAACAATGACATCATTCGAATATTTGTAAACTGACGTTCCAATGTTATAGAACCTAAAGAAGATTTTCGGGCATTTTAAATGGCCAAAAACATTTGTTCTCTTATGGATTAAGAAACTGCTAGTAAAAGAGTGAAATTTTTTGTGAAACTTATTTAAAGAAGTTCTAGCTTTCCATGCATGGCATTTAATTTACATTAAGGCAGCAATGAGGGCCTCCTTATAAATGAAAACAAGCTAGCACACACAAGAGTATGCATACACTTATATGAAAGGTACACTCTTATAAGCAATGCCTGACGCATTTTAAAACCACATAAACAATTCATTTTCACATATAAGAGCTTGCAGAAACACAGTTCATACATATATAAATAATTAATTAACCTTACTATTTCAATCATAAATTGTTTTAGTCTTATACTCTCAAAATTTTACTTTATTTTGAAGATTAACACATGGAATCACTACTGGTAAGTTACAAATAAATTTTAAATTATTACTGATTCAGTTTAAACATATTAAACTAGATCTAATTATAAAAATGAAAAATTACCATAGTCATTTCCGTAATTTTTTCTGTATTTTTTCACAAATTTATTAAATAAACGTCTGTGCATGGAGTCAAGATTGCGTCTTTCAACACTCTGGAGTGATAACACAAACATTTTAATATTAATTATTTTGCAGTAGACAAAAAACTATGTGTAATTGTAATGTGTAATTAATACCTGTGCAGTTTGCGAGCAAGTGAAGCTTGTTACACTTGTTTCATTAAGCCATGGTCTTTCATAAATAACAACCGTGCAGACTTTCAAAGACTGAAATAATACAAAAATGAACAAAATTAGTTTAAAAATTACAAATAATATGGATTTTTAACAGCATATTTGGTTAAGAAAGTTCTTCAAATGTAAATCAGATTGAAAATTACTTTTTTCAGAGTGAAAGCAGTTTTGAATCTGATTTACATTTCAGATTTTCAGAAAACTAACACATATGAACATCTTCAGGAGTTAGAGAACTCAAGATACATCTGAATTAATCAACACATTAAAAAGGGAATGAAGTTTAAATAAAACTAATGTTTTTGACCTGGTTAACAGCTGGGTTGAAAATGTTACAGTAATTTAAACTTCACCCACTGTTGAAGGTGCATTGATTAATTCAGCTGAGCAATCGCTAGTTCTTCCTTATCCTCAATATAATTATGAACTAGTAATTGCTCAGCCGAATCTTTGCTCATCTTCAATTCTGACCAACAGCAGAATTAAAGATTGAGTGACTGTATCTCTGCATATTGATAAGCAATAGGATGCTAGTAGACTAGAATTTTCTAAAAGTTTTTAGTTCAAAAGAAAGCAAAACACTGAAATTTAATTTTTCAATTATCACTTAATGATAATTACCTTGGAAGTCAACGGATTGCATTTTTGTGCCTGTTCAAAGGAATACTGCGTCTTCTTGCATTCTGTTTCCACGATGCTAATATTAAGCTTATAATTATATCCGGCAACAACCTAAACAAGATAAAAATGAATTAATAAGTTCTTAACAATATATATAACTATTAATAAAAGTTTATGAAATATGATGTTATTCGATTCCATCAATTTTCTTCTTCACAAAAGTAAAATATATGACATTAAAGAACATTCCATAAACAGTTCAATCTTATAAACTTCAATTAATGAATGTAGTCATGAGAATGTTTCACAAATGCATCAGTGCATAAAATAAATTAGAACATACTGATATGTGTAAACTGATGTACTGATATATACCAACATGTACAGACTAAATGCACTGATATACACTGACATGTATAAACTGATACGATAATCACATTATGATAAGTTATGAGAATGATGATAAATAATAATAATATAATAATTACTATATCAGTTTGTATGATGACAATATGCAAATTTGGGTTTGTGTTCTGCTTTTGAGAAAATTAGTGATTTTAGGAATGGTATTATACAAATTTAAAGATACTTATTCATTTATTAGCAACAGATATTTAGAGCAAATGGCACTTAATTTTATCCAGTAGATGTTTAATTTGATAAATATTGGATTAGATATATCAAATAAAAGTCATCTGACTAACAAATAATAATCAGATGTTTTTTAATCAGGAAACAATAGAAAACAATTGGGATTTCATGGCTTTGATAGATCTAGTTTATTCAATACACTACCTTTATGTAACGAATGGTTTAAAATTAAAAACAACATGGTTTAAAGTATTTTATTACATTTGTTCAAAGATAATACTAAATTAAGTATAAATAATCCTCAGTTCACATACATTCAGTTAACTTGTTTTTGATTTAATGTAGTATGCACTATATACAATTTTTATACTACTGTATATGCCATTTTTTTCAGCTCTAGAAGCTCATTACTACTTTCTTTAACCCACTAGTGAGCTTTTCTAACAGAGGAATACACAGGACTTTTTCTCGGGAAACAAAATATAAACAATTTAGATCAAGTACCATCCAATTTATTGATTAAAATTGTGATTCTTAAACTATATTTATCTTTCTTCTTCAGAGTGAATAGTAAGCATGTGTAAAAAATAAAGTAACAATTCCATTATAAATGATGGATCTTTCAAAAATTACAGTCTCTGTATAGAGCTAGAAGAACTATAGTGGCCATTCTATTATTTACTTTAGTATAATGACAATTAAAATAAATGTATTGTTATGAAAATACTCATATTATTGTCTTTTTTTTATAAAATTGATACTCAAAATAAAAACATACAAAGAAGACTAAAGAAAAAATAATGCAAATATCAGAAAGAATAACCATCCCTCTTGATCCCTGTTTCTGTGCACCCTTATTTAATAGTGATGCTTTTCATTTAGAGCACTACTTTCAAGGGACATATCTACTGCATTAACTAAGATCCACCAACACACCTAAAGTAGGTATTTTCCCCTTTTCTAACACAAAACGACTTCGGAGATTCATAAAGCTAACTGTCAGGGCACCTGCATCAACAACAAAGATGGTGAAACGATCGCGCAGGTGTGGAGGTATTTGTTCGAGGCATTCGAACAGGGACAGTCGGAGAGGTAAAACCTGACGCACACGATTATTTACATCTCTGGCGACATCGTTACGATGGTCAAGAAGAAACACGGTCAGTCACCACCTGAAGCAGACCTCAGTGGAGGTGAAAAGCGTTTGTGGAGTAGTTAAGAACATAACACTTGTACAGAAAGGTTTTCGATGATTATTATTTCCCCTTTTCTCTATAAAAACAATAGAACAATATATTCAGAGCAAGAATATCTCAGGATTTTGTCATTTTTTATTTTAACTGCTAGAAAAAATATATCAAAACTATACCAGATAACAGGATCTATTTATATGATTAAAAATTGGCTGTTTTAATACATCACAGCCAGTTATCTTGTACAGATAACAAAAATGTGATGTGTCAAAAACATGAATTGATAGTGAAGTATAATTCAAAATACTAAATTATTTATTTGTAATGTGATTGCCACATCTCGCAGATAAGTTTAATTGTAGACTGATAAAATAAAAAATTAGTTTAATACTTAAAAAAACTAAACTATTAAACCAATTGAAAATATTGTAATCTGGAATATTTCCAAACTTTCAGCTTTCATCAGAAAAATTACAACAATAACAAGCAATTATTTATTGTGACATTAAAAATTGCAGCATGGCATTGTGACAATCATATTTTTAATTTAAAATATATGTTCTCCATCTCAACTTATTAGTAGTGGGTTGCCCCTGTACATTATACTTTTCCTTTAACAACCGAATTGTGCCGATCATCTATCTAACGCTTTTCAGGAGAAAATGTTTGAATTGACGTGTAACTTCTGGTCTAGACAGGAAGTTCATATATAGTTAATTAGGGTCTCTTGCCCTTAAGGTTTCTATAGTTGGTCTTATCTTTCATCTAATTCTGTTCTTGAGATTAAGGACAGACAAATGATGGTAGGAATTTATAAATCTCTAAAATTACCAGAATTTTAAAGTGTAATCATTATGTTTATATATATACTATGGATAGGGATCCCATATAGGAAATTTTTCACATTAAATAATCAGCTGTGGTTTTATAAGCTCACTTCTGTATACAAACAGAAATGAAGGGTGACAAATCTGCTTTATCTAAAAGTAGTGTTGATTGGATAGAAAATAGTGTGATGTGAAACTACTTTCTCTGATTTTATAACTAGTGACTACCACCAAGGAAACTACGAAAAACAATAATCAGCTAAAACCTCATTGACATTAACAAGAAAATCAAAAGATATATAGCTATATAACCAAACTGCAGCTTTTAAGCTATATGCAGCTCTTCTATACTTACATAATTTCTTTTTATAAGCATGGTACATACTATTTACATATATATAAACATTTTTAAGTTAGCTGACTTATGTAGCATATATACATGGATTCAACCGAAAAACCCACTAAAATTCCAGCAACGAATACTTATTTAATGAATAAACTAACATTTTTGGCCATTTTTAACAGTCATTTAGAATAGAACATTCTAAAAAAATAACACAAATTGGAACATATATTTTGTAAAATAAGAACCTTACACATGATTGGACAATTGCCATGCATATGCATTGTTATTTTGGTATTCTTATAGTGTATTATTTGTCTCTCACTGTTTTGTCTAGCCAAAATTTTTTCATATAACTTTATTTATATAAAACAAGGTTTACAAAGAATATAGATTTAATGAAATAGGATTTATTAAGGCAAAAACTAAAATTATTAGGTTAATATATTACAACCTGATATAATTGAAAGGTTTTTAACAAATTTATATAATAAAGAAGGGAAGAGTCTCCAGATAAAAGGTTAACTCCATGTGATTAATGTCCTATGATGTAATCCGGAACCATTGAAAGCTCAGTGTGGGACCAAGGAAAAAAACTGATCCCTTTTGCCTTTTTTTCTTTTTTGAGCAAATGAAATATGTAGAAAATGTTTATTAATAAACAGAAGTCTTAAAGATTTTATTTTTTATTGGTAAATAAAATAATATATAAAATATATATCTCTGAAAATAAATTAATTTATTCTTTCCCATGTCCAGGGCTGTTGAGAAAGAATGAATGTGTAGATGTTAGAAATTTGCAACAGAAATGTTCTCTTAATGTATATTTCATAAAAATTTAAATCCTATAAGTTATGTACCTTTTTTTTTTTAATTTATGACTTTTTCAATCTTGTAGGCACAAAGAAGGCCTTTTTCCCTACCACGAGTTCAACTAAGCTCAAAATGGGAAGAGCTGAATGATGAGGAATGAAGCTCAATATGTTTGGGATAAGAAATCCATGAAAAATTCTTGGGATTATTTTAACTAGTCAGATTTGATCACAGATTTCCAGAGTAATAAGCCAACGCCTTAACCACCTTAGCCATCTGTCTGCATTGGTATATCAAAGTAAAAGCTTATGTGTCTCAATTAGATTACAGTTAACAAATCTTGGACATTGATAATATTAATGGAGCATGATAAAAAAACATATAATAACCTGAATGAACTTATTTCTATAAGTACCCATTTCTTAACAACTAAGGGATTCTTCCAGTCAACTTCTACGATATTATATAAGGTAGGATGACCAGAAGTCCCTGATTTCCAGGGACTGTATCAAATCTTAGCGTGGCAAGACACAGAGGAGGATTTCTTTATCCTCAAACACTTCCTAACGAATGTTTACTCCTCTATTGACTTTACCTAAGAAAAAGAAAATGGGGAAAGATTGTGTTTTTAGATTTAAACATCTCCAAGTCCCAGGAAGGTATAATGTACTCTGTGATCCATAAATTTAACAGCATACCCTCTTTAATCACTGCCACTGCATACCATCCACAGCACTACATTAATGCAGCTATAGCCCCTTTAATTAGAAGGGCCTTTCTGTTGCCTTCCACACAAACTGCCACCAATATTGAACATACTGCCATTTGCTCAGCAGCAAATATGGCGGGTTATACCATTTCCAAATATAAGCATATCTTGAACAAGGTTAAAAGATCTGTTTTTCCTATCACCACTTTACACATCTCAAAGGAATGCACAATAGTCCACCTGTCAGAACTGTTCTGTGGCTGCATCACTGTATGCATTTTCTATTGAAAATTTGGAAAAAGTGCTTGTAATATATTATAAAGCTAACTATAGAAAACAGAGCGAATACAAATTGCAAAGATAATTGTTTGTCTACTTTTGTGTTTCCATCATTCAGAATACGTGCATTTATGTTTGGAATGCATATGTTAAATAAAAAATTCATCGTCCTGATAAGTAGGTTAATTGGTCATTGTGTAAATTTTGACCGCCTATTTAAGCCTAAACGAAGCAATTTAAGAGCTTATTTTAAGCGCCTAAAACGCCACTTTTAAGGGCCTATATGTCCGCTGTCTAGTGATCATAAAGAAACTAACTTATTTCCTTTATAAATATATTACAGTAGATAAAGTTTTATAAGGTTTCTTTATATAAAACTTCACTTATTGTAATGTGTTTTAGTGTAGTAATTATTCTGGTAAATATGCACTTTTAAGTTATCTTTTCACAGTATCAACCTTAACACACGATAACATACAATCATTATTAGTCTTAATCGATATTTTAAATGTTAATCAGTTTAATCACTATTTATCCGCAGAAAAAGTTTAAATTGCCGGATTTATTATTTCCATTTTATATGCTAGCTGCTAAGTTCAATACTGTAAAATACAACATGTATTACTAGTAATTATTTATAACATAATTTCAAAATTTATTAATATTTTACATGTTTTAGCATGTCATGGTCAATAACACCAGAATTTCCATAAATGGTAGTCTTATTTAGTGTTATTCATCAATTGTTATCATCAGCATAGGCAAGTCCATAAGTGGATATGTATTTATATTGTTTAATGCATGGAATTAAACATATTGTCTGAATTTTAGTCCATTTCAGGTGGACCAGATCCACCTAAAAAGGGCTAAAATACTCTGATTTATAAGTTATGAGCTTTATGATGATCACATGGAGTTTATGCATATGTTTATATTAAAAGATGAGATTAGTTAATTGAACTTACCTGTCTTTCAGCGTGTAATACATCGATTAATTTATGATGGTAGATAGAATTGGTACCTAAATTAATTCGTTTGGCACCAAATAAAGCAAGCTTTTGCACGTAATCGCTGGTAGGAACTTTGCGCCATTCCCCAGCAGAAAGAACGGTGGAAAATAAAGCTAAAAACAACAAATAAACCTTCATGGCGCTTGCTTGTATATTAAATGACATCGAACTTCTTTATATACACAAATATCATGTGATAAGTCTCATCACGTGGACAGGACGAATCAAAGTTTACAAACTACTCAATTACACCGATGACGCAATCGATTAAAAATAACAATGCCTATCGCCACCTGATTAAAAATATATTATATTAAATAAATTATTTAATTCAAAATAAAATAAATCTTATTATAAGAAATATTTTTATCGAAGTTATAAAATTAAATATTATTCATCAATAATTACTTTTTTTTAATATTACGAAGTAATGTCATAATATTATCGCCGCTAGGGGGTTAAAAACATTTCTTTTGAACGCTTCGATAATTTAATACTGTATATTGAAACATCTAAACATTATACATTATATAATATAATAATGTATATATATAAATTATATTATATTACTAATTATTTATCTTGATGATTATATTATAACTAAAGCACGGATTTGTATGCACAATAAAGTTTAAAAATCGCTTTAAAATGCATAAAAATTATGCACTAATAAGCATAATTTTAAGTTAAGCATAACTTGCACAAAAATTCTGATTAAGTATATCATAAAAGGCTTACTTAACATTCGTAAAAGCATTTTTGGATATTAATTAATCAGACATAAAATTTCATAAGTTGAAATGTACAGTATAAAAGTGTTAATTTAAAAGTAATTATTCTAAAACTTTAATAAATAGAGGAAAAAAAAACTTTATAAACAAAAAACATCTCAGTCTTAAAGCAAACGTACGCGTAAAATTTCATAAAATCTGAAAAGAAAACACGTGTTAGTTTCGGTTTCAATAAATGTAACCGTTATAAATAAGGAGGTAATTAACTTTACTTAATATAGAAACTTCTCATTCTTAAAACAACCCAATTTGTGATAGTTTAAAAAAGTATCTAGCAACGAGTTGAGTAAGTTTCCCTGTTTTTATGACCTTTCATTTCAAAAATAACTTTTATATTATTAATCATAATAAATAAATTGTGTTCGGTGCCATCTGGTATGAGATTTTGTTATTAAAATTTTTTATATTTTTAAATTATTATAAAATAGCAAAAGGCTTAAGTTTGTGAGTACAGATGAGTATTATTTAAAAAAATAATAATAAATAAATAACTGTAAATGCTAACAACAAGTAAAATCTTTATTAATTTCACAAGATATGACACGTGACCTCCCTCTACCTACCCATCTCTTGACCTTTAACTCTCAGAATTTAATATTTTAGTCATTACAACATCCTGAAATATTAGGAGTTTCGAGTTTCAACCTTGAGAGCGCTAAGGTGTTTTATCGATTGATTACACCTGAATGAAACACCTTTCATCATTTGAACCATAGAATAAATTATGGTTACACATGAAAGATTTCCATTGGAGAGCTAAGTTTTGCAGAGCCAGAAAGTGATTTCATTTCCATATAATGGCTTATTTAAACAGCTAAATGGAATACTTAGTGATGTGAAATAACTGCCAACAATATGTTCTTAGAATATTTTATAATATTCTAAGATCATATTGTTCTAAGATAAGTTGTATATAATATTCCACTCTGTTTTATATAATATCGGCTCCGACTTTACCAATATTATATACAACAGAGTGCTCTTCCAGCGTGTAATTTCATCTTTTCGGGTTCGGTTAAATTAAACTTCAATAGCAGAGTGCAGTATAAATATATATATCCCTGTATTATATCAGAATGTAGAAAAACCAAAACAATGGCCATTTTGTATGTACTGTATCCGTCAGTGGTTGTTGTTCAAAGGTTAGACTGTATAACAAATTGAAATTACTGTATTTATTAAAGCCTTTCACATTTTCAACATCATTTCTAATTAATTAATGTTTGCATTTTAATCTTGTATTTGAAACGAACATCTGTCTATTATTTTTTCTGATTAAAGCAGACATAATTATCTAATTTTTATACTTTTATCTACAGTAACAAATGTCTTTTCTCTAATTCAAACTAATTACATAACTCTGATAAATAATTTATTTTTAATTTTAATAAAACAGACAGCCGTATAAGAAGTTTATGGATCAGTCTTCACGCTGGGTTTTGCACCCTTTGTGAATTACACCCTTTGTGAATTCAAGCTGCTAAGATGCCGCACTGGGAAACCCAGGATTGAATTTGGACAGGTCGAAAATCCCAATAATTTTTCAAGGAAAGGTCTGTTCAGATATGACGTTCCCTTCCTTCATCATCCACCTGGCCCATTGTGGGCCTGGCCGAACCCATGTTGTGCTTGCTAAAAGGCCCTCTTAATGCGCAAAGTGCGAAAAGATTAAAAAAATAACTGATTGCTGATTTATCCACTCCACCATATTGGGTCTAGATCTAATGTGAGACATCGTTTGCTCTAAAACTTTATAGATTTTCAAAATATTTCATTAAAATTCTTAGCAAGTTTTCTTAATAGGATAACTTAAAAAGATGCATTATTTAATTATGCAAATAATAACGAAGTTATCGGTTTTCTTTAATTTTAATAACAAGAATTTTAAGTGTGTCATTCAAACTGCAGCTATTCTGTAACATAAATCTATTATTAATTACAGTGTATTTGAAATGCTACTGGATGGCAGATTTATGGCTCATTTAGTACCGCACACGTGTTTTGTATGAGGAAAGAGCTAGAGAAAAAAAGAATTTTCATTATTACAAGATTATCATAGTGACATAATGAATATGCAAGAAATTTGCTTAGGTTGTTTCTTGAAATCTGCCTTAAATGCTTCTATACTTTTAAGTGTAATCGTTTTATTCATTAATATTGATATTTGGAAAAGCGAAAGCATTTTTCTGTAATATGCAAAGGAATCAGCAACACTCCGTATTAGAAGATTTATATATAATTGTTACAATTATTATTTATGATGTAGAATGCGACCAACACTTCGGTGATCTATGCTTAATAAAAAGAAATCGTCCAAACTTATTAAATAAACTCAATGGATTCATGATGCACACCAAAAGATTCGACAATTTATATGACATTTTAACGCAAATTTCAGTTACTCCATTATATCTTTTTATACAGAAATTATATTTTTACCAGCTTTCATACTTCGGCGCTGTTTCCTGCTTGATTAATGCAACTATTACGTGCGTTTCTTAACGATTTTCTGGTATAAACGAGTCGCTAAATGTTCTTCATAATTCTTGACAAGTAAACAGTCATGTTGCTTACTTTGCCTTTATTGTGCTTTACTAGTTAAACTTACATAATATGTGAGAGCAGCGCTAAATTTTGTCCTACTGGCTGAATTTTAAAGTATATTTTTTTTGAAAATCGAAATTGCATACTCAGGAAATTTTTATATCAAATTTGTTCGAGATTTGCCCAATTATTTTTTCTATAGAGAACTCTATATACCTACACTTTAATTGTGATCACTCTGTATTTAAAACTAGAAATTAATTTTAAATACATTTTTTTTTTTTTATATTTTAGATTTTAGATTCCATAGAGAGTCCTAATGGAATATATTATATAACCAAACGATTTCCTCTTAAAGTAAGTACAGTGCCCCATTTTACGACTTCTTGCTTTATAAAACTCCTATCTTAACCACTGGTGCCTGATGTAAATATCTTATAACTAACATTTAATATCTTTACTGTCATCTTATACAGGGTGGTTCCAAATTATAGAAACGAAAACGGGAGTGGACTCCTACAAGACAAAGAACCAAATGGTCCCATTAACATATGTCCTGAAAATACACTGCAGTGCAACGCTATATCTTGTGCATGCAGTTGGTGGCAGAACTTTAAAGGAATTCTTTAAATTTTATTGTTTACGTTGCTGTCTTCTCAATTAGCATATTAAGTGCTTGCCACGAACAGATTTAGATAAACCGCTTGTTTACCTAAATCCTAATGGATCCATTAGCTAATATACATTAAGATTTTATCCTAATGGATATTAGATAACCTAATGGAATGAATCGTTACAAAACTTAATTATAAATTATAATTTAGGTTTATTTTTTTAATTCTTATATTTTTTAATTTATAAATTTAAAAAAAAATCTTAAATTGTAATTATTCTTGTAAATTAAGTAAATAATTACCATATTATTTATATAACGGAGAAGCATCTGTTGTCAACATGATACAGTATTGTATAACACAAAAATACAGTGATTTCTCGTGTTTCGAATGTTCTAATGTTCGTCTTTTGCTCTCGCTATGAAAGTATTTCTTGCGTTACGCTCGTGTTTTTCTCTTTTACTATGAAATAATCTCTTGAGTTACGCTTTTCTTCGCTTTATTTTTGGTGCGTTTGGTTTTAAATATAACTCCTTCTTCTTAACAATGGCATTCATGAAGAGTGAAACGGTAAATGAGATTTTCATTTTATCAGATATTATACAATATTTACATATTTTATTTATTGTTTTCGCGTTTTTTAAATATTATTTATGGCATATGACTGTGTTATTTTTACCTAAATTATGTATATTTACTATTTAAGTTTATCGAAATGGGTATTTTTTTTAATGGTTTGGGAACGGATTAATTCACTTTCCATTATTTCAACTGGGAAATTTTGATTCGGACTTCAAACAATTCGGAGTTAGAACGGCCTCCTGGAATAAATTAAATTGATATAAAGATATGATTAAAATAATGACAGCTTTAAACATAGACAGCATTCGGCTTTTGATTTCACTTTGGCTGTTTTGAGGATCTCATAACGTACACAAAAATATTCTTGTTCTTACTCTCTCAATCTTCGCTCGCTCCCATCGGTGGCTGTGGTTAATTTTTCTACAGTATCAATTATGTGTAATGAGAGATTTATATTACATACACTTACTTAAAAGTGACATACAAGTCCATATTTTGTGTGGAGTGAAATCAATTCGTGGAATAATACAAGGACCAGCTGCCAAATAAAGTGCCTTCCAGAAAGACTTCTATAAAAATTTTGTTGATATTTAAGTTATTATAATATGAAGAGATTCAAAAACTCACCTCGCTGCTAACCTGTTGTTAAGGCGAGAAGCCACGACCAGTGAACACAATAATGAAATTCATGTGGAATTACTAAAGAATAAACAAGCATCTTGTATAAATTCGAAGTTATTCCTTTATTTTTTTATTAGTGTTGCCCTGATGACTGGGTTTAGAGAGAAGTTCGGCCCTCCCACAGGCAAATCAAAGCTGCCTAGCTTCGCCTTGTCTTTGGTGTTTCCAGGACCTTAATTTTTTATGAATTCTGGTAATTTGCCAGACTTCAACTTTGGTTATTTCATTCTATGGAATGCTGTAATGTTTGCAGGTTATTGAATTCAATCGAAGAAGCTCTGACTACTCTAGGAAACCTTCAGGTGGGTGCAATACCTGATAGATCGAATTTTTGCTTTTCAAAATCTGGTAGATGGCACAATTGGCCTTTAACATCTTGCTGCTAAGTCATAGCGTTATCTTATTTCATCAATCTAATCGAAGATACTTCACTACATATTAATGTATGGGAAATCTGTCTACAATTGTGATATTCAGTATTCAAAAGTACGATTAATTCAAAAATAAAAGTTAGCTATAAAAAGAAACTAATTTAATACCCTAAATCGAAGATTATCATCTTTTACTTAATGAAATTTAAGGCATTTTAATGGTATTCATTAAGAATGCATTCGTATTACATGAACATGATCTAGCGATTAAAATAATTTCACCTGAAATTACTTTTAGTAATATCAAATTTATGGCTCAATTAATAAAGTAAACGTCATTTTATAATGCAAATTCTTTGCATTATAAAAATGATTTTATGAAACCATTTTATAATGCAATTTTATAATGGAAGATCTTCAGCAATAGCACAATGAAAAATTGACTTTAATTTTAGTATAGAAACATGTATTCAAATATACAAGAAGAACTTTGCATTGGTTGTTTCTTAAAACCTGCTTTAAATATTTCTGCACTGTTTGGTATGGAACCATTTTTGTCTTGTGATTGTCACAGAAGATCCTTACTTTCTAGTCCCACAAAAAAGTTATTGAAACGCCTTTATTTTCAAATAATAGAATTCATAATGTGGATCGAATTCTGTCTTGTAGTTTGGAGAGCAATTCCCATTGTAAATAATTATGCTCCTTGTATGCAAACTGTACATAAAATGAAAAATGATGCCATACCTTATCAGCTGTCTCGCATCATTTACGCCTTTATTATTATAACAATATTGAAATGGAATAAAAATCACAAGGTAAATTTGAAAATAAAATTTAAGAACGTGGCATATAGACGAAAAGATATATCGAGCATCATTAATTCTGTTAATAATATTTCTTTGCTTGCTTTCTTAATTGTTTTACTCGTTAATATCTGGTATAATATAGTAATTGTAGTAATTTTGTATTCAGTATGGCAACAAGACAATGTGTATAAGGACGAAGCATTTTTCTGTAGTGTGCATTTGGGTGTAAGTCAAATGTACTCCATTGGTGGATTGATTTTTATAACGCTATTACAATTATTATTCTTATCGTTTATTGATAAAGAATATGAACAACTCTTCGATAATTTATTGCTAATAAGAAGAAACAACCCATCTCTGGTGTCTTCTCTGAACTCTTTCATGGTACAACATGAGCAAATTTGGAAAATAGTGGAAGAATTTAAAGTTAAATTCGGCTATCCGTTTCTCTGTAACTACGTATTCATCGTATTTTCTACTAGTTATTACTATTACATGTATTTCTTCAGAGAAACAGTTGACAGAGTGGCCAATATATACCTAGAGTTGAGTATTATCTCCACTATTGTTTGCGTCATCTATGGTTTAAAATTGAGTTCTCTCTCCTTTAAGGTAAATAATTAAAGACATTCTTAAATAAATATTTGTTTTCTTTTGTATAATATAAATTTTTTCAGATGCAGAATGGATTTCAGGATATTCGGCTGTTTGCAGTGTCAGACACTTCTGTAGAAGTAAAGATCAAAGTGTGTACAAACAATTAGTAATATCAACATGACGTAGGGTAGCCTAAGAGATATCTACCAAGCTTAATGATATATAACAACGAGATGCACAAATCTTAATCAAATATCATTCAAATCAGCATTTGTGCCAATCAATAGCCACAATCGGAAATAGTTGGTCATTGGTTAGCACCTAAACAATGAGCTGACTGTATGGTGTTTTCGGCTTTTTTTTACGTGTCTAAACCAAAATTCGGTACAATTTCCCCCACAGAGACTTTAATTAGAAGCTCTTCCATTGACAGATTGCCCATGGGTTTGCGTTGTCTTATTGTAGCGATACAATCTGAATCAATATTTGAATCCATTTATGTTAGAATGTCCTCAATATAGTTGGCTTCAAGTTCGATCTCAAGCTTATCTGCACTAGTGTGCGTAATGCAGATTTGAATATTGGATAATATGTGCCTATAAGGGTGAACCGGAAAGCTGTGAGGAGTTTAACCTGCCGCTCTGGAGGATTCGGAATCGAATCTAAGAGTTTTGTGGGTTGTCCATCTGTCCCTCACTAACCAGACATCTCATCGTGGGCTTGGCTGAACCCACGATGGATATAGAAAAAAATGTCCTTTCAGTACACACGGGGAATATAAATTAATATACACGTATATAAAAAACATTAAACTTGGTATATATCTTTCGAGTTATCCCGCAATTATAACTGATTGTCATTTATAATTCACAATACACTTATTTTTTTCCTTCAGATTCTGAATTTTATGAAACGATTCGGCAAAGTTCCATTAGTACTTTCGATGGGAGGATTCTTCTACATAACTAAAAGATTCCCTATTAAGGTAATCTTTCGACTGGAACATACATTTTAAAATATAAATTTTTAATTATAATTAATATTTTTATTTTCAGATGTTTAGTTCTCTTCATTCCGTATTTTCCGGACTGTTAAAATTGCGAACAATTAGTTATCGAAATGGAAACTGTAAAGGAACTTTTACTGATAATGCCACTCACTTTTATGAAATTTAATAATGATTAGTGTTTTATTAAATAAAGTTTTTGCATGAATATTTTTAATATTATTAAGATTATTTAGGAAATTACAATAAGAATTAGATATGTTTCTTTAGTTTATTTCTATTTACGTTTTCCTCTTTATCTTTGCCTGCTGAGTTACATATTTTAATGGGTGAAGATCTCATAATCCGCTTATAATTTTAATTGCATCGATAAGTATTACGTATTCTATCCATATAAGGGTAGATTTCTGTGTATTAATAGATGTTAAATGAAGGAAATCCAGAAAATTTTGGTAAAATTTGTAATTTAATAAAATATTTTGATACATTGTATGTGTAAAAAACATCGTTGATTTTATCTAAATTGGAAAATAACTTCAGTTATAATTAACTTAAATTTAGTGAATAGATGGAGTAGACCTCAACTGTCATGGCTACCTCACTTCAATATGCCTCAGCTGTAGTAACGGGTTTAGCACTTTATGTTATTCCATCTCGTTGATACATTCGCTTTCTGATATCCTGTCACATTTTCGTAGGACCTCTGAAGCATGATATTCGCTGATTCGTAAAAGTGATACTTATTGTGACGATTCTTTCCTTGGAGTATTGTGGTTCTTTCTTTTTAGACGTGGGCAAAAACCATACGAACAGAAAGAGGAAAAGAGATTATTTACGAATGAGGAATACGAACACGTTGAAAAGCAATAAGAAGCGACGAAATAAACAAGATTTAATAATAAAAAACGTTGGTGTAGGGAAGAAATTACCTGTTAAACCAACTGACAAAATGGTTCAAGCACAGACAAGTCGAACCTACATTTACCATCGCCTGCGTGGAAGAAAAAAAATCTTCAGTCTGCCAGGAATCGAACCTGAGACCTTCCACGTGTAAAGCGGGCGTGATAACCGCTACACCACAGACACCCGCTGAAAGAAAGCGGAACGGCAATTCTTCTTCGTGAACTGATCCTGGGTCGTATTCAAAACGGTTTGATTTTCCTTCTTCAGACCTGCTGACGTTTATCGGACATTTTCAGTGGAAATTTTCGTACAGAATCAAGCAGGCGGATGAACCGGAAAGATGTTTGCAATCGTCGTACGCCAGAAAACGAATGCGAGATGTTCCACTGTGAAAACCACGACTCAAGTAAGTCGTAGAAAATCACATTACCAAAGGATAAGGTGAACAAACAAGTTGAATCTGAGAGGAATGGCCATTGCAGAAGAGAAAACAAATACATCGGACGTGTGGACTGATTGTTTTCAGGTTAATGACTTTCCATCGTGACAGGAATGAAGATTTTGTAAGAAAAGTGCCGGATTAACTACTGGACTTGAAGTTAGCACAAGTGCGACTTAAAGATTTGAGCAGTTAGAAAGGTTGTGTAACTTTTCTAATTGTTTAAATAGCCGTGTGCTTGTGGTGTAGCGGTTATCACGTCCGCTTCACACGCGGAAGGTCCCAGGTTCGAAACCTGGCAAGCACATTTTAACTACTTTTTCTCGTTTTGTTTGTTCGACTTGCACCTCCGCATTATGCAACGTTTCTATTATAACGTATTTCGCTTTGCTTAAAGGAGAGATAGGACAGGTTAGAGAAGGAACTTGAGCGCGGTATGGATATATTTAAATGAGCACGGCTCTTTGTACGTGCTGCATTAGGTTGCTGGTAGAACGAAAGAAACGCGCAAATTTATTTAATCAATTTTCGCAAAAATGAATTTTACAACATGCAAAGAAAAAGAAAATTGTAACGGCTCCTCAACGAGTCACAATTATCTGTTAATAATCAACATGTAAATATTATACTCAATTTTCATTGATTATATTCGTTAGAAATGGTATTTTTATACGAAATATATAAAAATATCACTTCTAATTAATTAAAATGTCAATAAAAATTATTCAAAAATCTAAATTTTCCATATATAATATATAAAGCGAGAATGTTTATTTCTTTGTTAGAGGTAATCTGAAATCCTACTAAACAAAATTTTAAAATTCTTTTGCTATTGGAAAGCTTATTCCTTCGTGATGAACATAGGCTATATAGTATTTTCATATAAAAAACAAAAAAAAAGAAAATTCACGAGAAAGATGTTTTTACTGAGCATTTGTCTTTTATTGTTCTTTCGCTCCATTCAATGTCAATCCTCTTCGTCACCTGGTGGGCTCTTTTAAACTTATATTTTCGGTTTCGATTTTGATTGGTGCACTTGTGATAGATGTGTATATGTTTTGCTTATACTGTGTTGGTCGTTCGCTTCTTATACTAATGTTATTAGATACTTAAAACTATAAGAACTGAATTCACTTTCGTATATATGAGATTGAACTTTTGTACGTAAACCTGTAGTATTTTTATGTGTTCGTTGTTTTAGTATTAATCCTATCCTACTATTACTTAATCATAAGAATTAGTCCTGTTATCAGAGATTTATCTACATACATTGAGTAGTTTCGGTTACTTTTCAGGTGTACGCATTTGCGAGTCTTTTGACGATAAAATTCCTAAAAAGAGTGACAATTGTCACGAAATACAAGTGTCAAGGGAAGTCTTATTACTTTCTATATATGTAAGTACTTGTACAGCATAGGCTGCCGTAATAACAACCCTTACAGCAGTTGGCAGCAAATTCACGTGCCAAAGAATATAGTCACGAAGGGAAGAGAAAAAAGGGAGGAGGGGGAAGATAAAAAAGCAAAAATGAAGAAGAAAGAGAAAGAGGAAAAGAAAAGGAAGCAAATAACAAACTAAATTCTATAACGACAAAAAAATAACTGAAACATTTTACATAAGTAATGAACTTTTGATGGTTCTAAATAATTGTAAAAATAAAATAAAAATATTATTTATTTTGCATGAAATATACTTTAAAGTCCACGATTTAGAGGTAAACATAATAAACAAATGTATCAAATGTTTAAATTATCATTTATTAAATTTATTCCAAGAACTTTAAATTTAATGCTCTTCGTTGTTCTTCGAAAACCGAATTTTTGAATAAAATCTATTCATTGCATTGAATAAATATTAGAAACGAATGCCATTACTTGAATATTAAGTTTTATTCTTTTAAATAAATGATTTTTGGGGAAATGGAAGAAGGCAACCCAATACGTGGACCATCTGGATTCCTGGGAGAACATTCTTTAGAACCTTGCCCCTATTTAAATATTACAAACATAAAATCCCGCTGAACCTCTTCTGGGGTTTTCTGGGGGTTTAACTACCTAAGGTATGCCTAGAAATATCTCCTTCTGGGCTTTTCCTGGGGGGGGTAGTACTTCGAGTAGTAGAAAGTTTTGTTTCCTTTCTGCATCCTCTCCGAAGACGTCTGAATCGCTGTTTACGACAGCGACGGACTCAGTTGTAAAATACTGTAATTTTATTAACTCGTCCTTAAATCCCGAAATTTGAGGGCCAAACAGGTTATTTTATATGAAAAAAGGAATTTATAGAGAAAAGCATACCAAAGTGGCCTACTTATTAGAGTATTTGTAATAAATGTAAGATTTCTATACATTAACTCTATAGGGTGGTACAAAAGTCAATTAACTGTGTTGTATTTTTTTTGTGAGTGTGTGTTTATGTGTATTCTGGAAAAACTCTAAAATTGTTAAATCGAGTTTACAATAATCAATTTTATTAGATCAATTTTAGTAGAGAATTGTACCAATTTCGGTACAGCTAATTACTAAATAAGCCAGCAGTTTAATACAATGATTAACTGATTTATGGATCATTCTGTATTCTCACGAAGAATTTTAACTAAAAACTATAGGAGAATAAGTTTAAAAAGGAGAAAATTGTTTATATCTTCAATACTTTCGTCTTATACACGGTGTACCACAAGTCTGGAACTATAGGAATTACGTTGATCTTTGTTTATATTTTTAAGGTAAAGCATGACGCTCAGTAAGTAGTAACGAATTCAAGTTGTTTTGGTGGCAAAGACCCTCAGTCAGGGTGAAGTCACCAAAGGGTTTAACAAGTTGCATCCTGGTTTGATTTGGTAAGATTCATCTCAACGTGTGAGTGATCTGTCGAGAAGGATGTGCTCCCAGGAAGAACTTTTTATCCATTATTTAGTGTAAGGCACGTAAAAAAAGCCCGAGAAACTTCACATGGTTAATGCGATGCGAACCCACGACTCACGTTTAATGGTGTAACCCACTCGGTTAACGGTGGGCCAAAATTTAAATCACTGGCCAATTTCCCACAATCACACGTAATGATAACAAATATAATAATATTTTATAAATTCCTTTTATAGTTTTTAAAATATACAAGGATTTCTTTATATATATAATAAATTATAATAATTCAGAAGTATCTTTCAAGTGACAGCATTTCGGTGGGTGTTTAACAGATTTTCAATGTTTTACACCTACTCAATATACTTTAACACATTGAAATCAGTTAATGTAATCTGTCTGCTCGCATTCTGTTTGGTAGAAAATTGTAATAAACCGTTTTTAATGTTATTTTTACATTAAACAAATAAAACGAATTTATATGTAAATATGTTTCATACTTCTCTTTATAATAATGGATATTAGATAAATCCATTACTGCAGTGTCTACCCCTACTTTTAACAATGTTTTTTAATAGTCTTAAAACAGTTTCTTAAATAAAATCTTCATTAAAAGGTAATTTTTAAGCAAGAAAGTCTTATGAAAAGTAAAAGAAACTAATTTGTCACGCAACACCTTTTTTTTCTATAGAAGAAAGATCAATTATAAATTATACAATTTTCTATACATCAACCTTAAGATGTATTACTTTCCTGGCTTTTATATATAACAGAGGGAAAGTATGTTGATGGGTCAAGAAATGACCTCCCGAAGATTTTTACATTTTTCGACTTAGCACACCTTGGGAGGGAGCATAATTTTGTACACCCTGTTTGAAGCTTAATAATTCCTGTGTTTTTTGCCGAAAATTTCTAAAATTTTGCAGGGAGATTTGTTTATCAAGTGGATTGATTCTATTAAATTTTGGA